TATCATCAAGAACCACAAATAAATTAAATAAATCTTAACTAAGGTTAATCATTGTTTATGATTTACCTTTTATTTAACAAAATTAAATCCAATAATTCTAGAATAATTATTATCAACATTCAGTTTTTCAAAATTTATTAGCAGAATCCCAAATAAAATGCAAATTAATTGAATGATGTCAAAAACAAATTTATAAGTTGAGATAAGTATTGATTGCTAATTAAATATACGATATCTATTTATTTCAAAATTAAAACCAATATTATTTTTTTTATGTTCCGAGAAACGAAATTGCAAAAAAACACTGATAATATTTTCTGTGAACCTCAATTTCAAGGTAAGTCCGTTTCTTTATGAATAACTTGGACAGCGTTGCCACTCTTGCAATATATTCTGGATTTCCTTGTCCAGACAGCCTTGTGCCCATATTTATTCTTGGTAGTTAAGAATAATTTATGTAACCTGGGTGTCAATTGTTCGTTGATAAAGACATTGGATCCTTTAAGTGATGAACGTTTACGGTAGATTTCATTTCGTTTTAATGAGGACACAAAATGTACAACAGCCCTCAGCTTTGATAAGTGATTCAAAGAATCTCTTTTCCCAACTCTGAACACGTTATCAATTTCAAACAGTGCACATTTAATATTCAGACCTTATGTTATGTTGAGAATGGGGTGTTAATACACTGCGACCTAAAAGATCTATTGTGCCCCCTTCTGTCGCCACTGCACTTAGGAAATGTCTCAATGCCTATAGCGACCCTTCCAATCCTATTTTCTCAAGGAAGTGTAGGATTTGAAGTGGCTTCAAGTTAGGTAAGTCTCCCTCTTCTATTTGATATCCTCCTAGATATAGTGCCCTTGGATTCTAGAGTGCTACACATTCAGTTAGGATGTGAATGGAGGTTTCGTCCTCCTCCTCACAGAATCTGCACTCACTATCCTCTAATACTCTCAGTTTACTTAGGTGTCCTTTTAGTCGGCAATGCCCGGTAAGGATCCCTGTTACAATACGTAGCCTGTTCTTGCTCAGGCAGATGCAGGCTTCCGATCTTTTTTGGTTATATTCACCCAGAAGTATCTTGGCCTGTCTCAGCCACAAGAGATTGTTCCAATTATCGGTTCTACTACCCAATTCTTTTTTAATCTCTCCTAATATTATGTTACTGCTGATACCGCAGAACGGCTCAGGCCCTACAAAGGGTGTTTGAGCCCCTTTCCTTGCAAGACTATCTGCAATCTCGTTACCCTTTTTGAGCTGATTACGTAAGAACTCAGCGCTTTGATGGCTGCTTGACTATCGGACATGATGATAATCTCTTGTCTATGATAGTTTCTCTCGATGTTAAACTGGATACACTTCTCGATGGCGTGAATTTCCGCCTGGAAGATGCTTGAGTATTTTCCCAAGCTTTCGGAGTGCTTGGTTCTCGGCCCATACACTCCTATTCCAGTTCCTTCTATGGTTTTGGAACAGTCCGTATACCACTGAATAGCACGTCTTTCGGTTGCAAGCGCGATGGATTCTTGGCTCCATTCTTTCTTGCAGCCCAGCTCTGTGGTTTTGAAGTTTTTCACAAAACTGTACTTCTTTTGCATTTCATCCTGGGGCATGTCCCAGGTATATTTAGTCCTGAAGCAAGTAGACTTTCATCTGATTACTCCATTCCTGATCATTCTATATCGTGTCCTTTTTGCCACAATCTCTATCATCAAATGTAGAGGGGTGAGGTTTAAGATCACCTCCATTGCGGCCGTAGGACAGGTTCTCATTGCACCAGTAATGCAAACACAGGCTAGTCTTTGTACTTTTGAGATATTAGCTCTCGTAGTAACTAAACTAGTTCTGTTACTCCAGGCTATAGCCCCGTAAGTGATGATTGGTCTCACTATTGCAGTATACATCCATCGCAGTATGTTTGAGTTACATCCCCATCGTATTCAGACCTTGGTTAAATAATGTCAATATTTTTGTCATTATGTCCTCATTTTCTTCATCTTTGATCCCTATAATTCTTAGTTTATTTTCTACTGACCTTTGTTCTTCTTTTTCTTGTTTTGTTATTATATCATCGATATTTCTATTATTAAATTCAACATGATCTTTTAGCTCTCCAAAACCACATGATATGTTAGTAAGTTGACTCACTTAACTGCTGTTTTATGTCTAGTTCGTGGAATTTCGTCTTATTATTATCAACTTTATTTTCCAATAAAGTCAGTGTTGAGATCATTTCTTTTATATTCTGTTCCATTGTATCCATTTTGTTGCTCAGTTTTTCCATGTATTCTTCAAGTTTGGCTGTGAATTTAGGCGCTAACTTATTAAATATTGATTCCACCATTGTTTCTTCCAGCCCCGAAATGTTTATACTTCTTTGGCTCATTTCTAAAGATCGAATTTAAATTTTATCTGGCAACAATGTTAGGAATGTATACAGCCGATAAAAGTGCAGTTTTATTAATTATGCTATGTTTTTCTTGCAATTTTTATGTCACAAATAGATTTTTTATAGTTTATTCAACACCACACCAAGTTTTCAATTTAACTGATATATATTTACCACTTAAATTTTATAAAATTCTTAAGAGCTCACACCGACCATGTTTACAGCGCAGCCATTACCACCATAGCTAGGCATTTTCGTAGAAACCTACTATAGATTACAAAATTTAAATGGCTCCAGGCCACACAGGTTAGGAAAATTAGTTAAAATTTTGTTTGTTATCTCATTTCATGTATAATTTTTTGGTTAGGCAAATTAGCTTGTTTTTTAAATGTTAATTAGAATACTATGAAGTTATGAGAAAAAAGTAGTAAATAAGGTCACAAAAGCCCTAATGTTATGCAGAAACATTGCGGGTAAACGATGTAACCTGAACACACTGCTATGGATGTATATAGTCAATAGTGAGACCAATCATCATTTACGGGGCTATAGCCTGGAGTAGCAGAATTAGTTTAGCTACTACAAGAGCTAATATCTCAAAAGTACAAAGACTAGCCTATGTTTGCATCACCGGTAGTATAATGAGAACCTGCCCTATGGCCGCAATGGAGGTGATCTTAAACCTCACCCCACTATATTTGATGATAGAGAATGTGGCAAAAAGGACACGATATAGAATGATCAGGAACGGAGTAATCAGACGAACATATACTTGCTTCAGGACCAAAGATACTGGGGATATGTCACAGGATGAAATGATGAAGAAGTACAGTTTTGTGAAAAACTTCAAAACCACAGCAAGAAAGAATGGAGTCAAGAATCCATCGCACTTGCAACCGAAAGACATGCTATTCAGTCGTATACGGATGGTTCCAAAACCATAGAAGGAGCTGGAAGAGGAGTGTATGGGCCGAGAACCAAGCACTCCGAAAACTTGGAAAAATACCCAAGCATCTTCCAGGCAGAAATTCACGCCATCGAGAAGTGTATCCTGTTTAACATCGAGAGGAACTATCATGTCCGATAGCCAAGAAGCCATCAAAGCGCTGAGCTCTTACGTAATCAGCACAAAAATGGTCTGGAAATGCCTAGAACAATTGTATGAGCTAGGTGAGAAAAATAGAACTACTCTCACTTGGGTCCCGGGACATAACGGGGTACAGGGAAACGAAATTGCAGATACTCTCGCAAGGAAAGGGGCTTAAACACTCTTTGTGGAACCTGAGCCGTTCTGAGGTATCAGCAGTAACATAATATTGGGAGAAAAAAGAATTGGGCAGTAGATGAACCGATAATTGGAACAATCTCTTGGGGCTGCGACAGGCTAAGATACTTCTGGGTGAATATAACCAGAAAACATCGGAAGCCTGCATCTGCCTGAGCAAGAACAGGCTACGTATTGTAACAGGGATCCTTACTGGGCATTGCCGACTAAAAGGACACCTTAGTAAACTGAGAGTAGTAGAAGATAGTGAGTGCAGATTCTGTAAGGAGGAGGACGAAACCTCCATTCATATTTTAACTGAATGTGTAGCACTCCAGAATCCAAGAGCACTACTATACCTAGGAGCATATCAAATAGAAGAGGGAGATTTACCTAACTTGAAGCCACTCCAAATCCTACACTTCCATGAGAAAATAGGATTGGAAGGGTCGTTATAGGCATTGAGATATTTCCTTGCTGCATTAGCGACGAAAGAGGGCACAATAGATATTTTAGGTCGCAGTGTATTAACACCTCATTCCCAACATAATATAACATAAGATATTTTTCATCTCAGATCATGTCCGTCCGTACAGTATATGGGTGATTCTCGAATAACTGTGATTTTTTATGTCCCGTATTTTATTTTATTACATCTCAAACTTTCGCAAATTTTTTTTTAAGCTGCATATAAATATAATCGAAATATCAGTACCGTGGCATGTCCGATTCTCATTTTTGAAATTAAATATATAAATTTATATCAAAATTCATTTTTTAATATAAAATGTACCTCTTATAACTATAATCTAATGCATACTGTATTAAATTTTATTGCAATTTTATACCAATCTTTCGATTGGTAAAAAAAAATAATCATTTATATGTCAGTACCGTGGAAAAAATGTCAAAACCGTGGCATTAAAATTTTGAAATGTTGTCAAGAGTTTTCGTTGTGTTGTAGCTGTAGTAGAACCACTTTACAGGTTTATTTGTGTGCATAAATAGAACACAAAAACGCGTAAAATATACGTTTTATAATATTTTTAATTTTAGAAAAATTTAAGTTGAAAAAATCGCATTTACACGAAAATCACCCATATGCGAGTGCGATCAAACGTATTTCATATTCGATCAATTGTTCATTTGTTCGTTCGACAAAAAAATCTTAGGCGCAAATGTACTTTCGAGCCAATGTTTTTTTTTTTTTTCGTGTAAATACATTTTCGAGGAAATGTTTTTTTGAGCAATGTTTTCGAGTAATTGTTTTTCGAGAAAATGTCTTTCAAGCAATATTCCGTAATTCTATTTAGACTCATTCCACCGTAAGGAGGAATGACTCACCTGCAAATTCTTTACCTCCCGTTCATGAAACGCCGTGCTACCCTCCGACGATGCCAACGACGCTGACAACGGCGAAGAATGCGGACTCAACCCCGCCGTAGTGGTCACATTCACCTCGTGGCAACTACTCGTATCTGGCGAATGAACAAACCGCTTGCCCGCCTCTAATCGCTGCCACAGATCCAATATTTTCTCCTCCAAGCTTCTGTTTATCGTCAACTGCGTTTGGTACTTGCTTTCCACGGCCTAATAAAAATTTTTTTTTGGATCAAATCGGTTCGACTAGCCGATCGCGTATTTCATTATTTACCTCTAATTTTTCGAATTTCTCCTCGTTGATGGTGCACAATAATTGTTTTTGGGATAAAATTAGATCGTCCTTGGTACCTATTGCGTGTTCCAGTTCCAAAATTCGATTTCTATACGCATCTAAATTCATTATTTTGTTTTCTAGTTGCTGGTTCAATACTAAAAACATTTTTTTTTTAACAAACTACCAACTATATTTCTAAAATTTGAATGAAACGAAACGAACCTCTGACTTCCTCGTAACAGCTTTTCCTCAACTCATCCAGCTCCACCTGGTATACTTTATCGGTGTCTAGAGCTTCCAATCGTTCTTTGAATTTCAACTGAAGTTCGCCGATCATAAGCAACTCTTTATTGACTTGTTCCAATTCCTTTTTACCCTTTTCGCCGATCAGCGCTTGCTGTTTCGCGATGTTCGCTTCCGCGATAGCGTCCATTAATTCCGCTTGGGTTTCCAATAAGTTCGACTCGGACTGCGCGTGTTTCTCCTTAAAATTCGTCAAATTGTCCCGCAAACGTTCGTTATTCTCCTCTAAGCTCTTGTAGTCGTCCTGAAGCGTTTTACACTGCAAAATAAGATAGAAATTACGCTCCGTTTCACCAATCACTGCCTAATTTAGCCGGTCTATTATTAGTACAGGTAATAGACACCTTATTAGAAATTTTATTTGTAAAAGTTAAATTATTTGGAAACTTAAAAGGGAATTAAACCTCTCAAATTTGGTACTCTTCCATGAGAAAATAAAACTCGAAATCTATCGACATACAGGGAAAGGGTGGGAGGTCTCACGGATTCAGATAGCACATTAAAAAATAAGATGACAAGTTCCCATATTTTTTTTTCCTAGCGGCCCTCCCTACGGAGATACAATATCCAAAAGGACGCCATTGGAAATCAATTTTTCTTGAATAACTTTCAAACTACGTAATATAATTTATTGAAAATGTAATATGATAAATAGTATTAAGAACCTCTTAAAACATAATTAGCTTGTTTAGTTTACCAGGGGCGGACTAGGTTATATTTTACCCTGTATGATGAGTAAAAATAAATTTCGATACCTTGAACATTAAGCTAAAGAAAAGGTGTAATAATTGGCATTATTATTAGTTGGAAATATAAAGAATTTACCAAAAATTCTAAATAAGAAGTATTTTAATGTTTTAAATTAAAAATTAAAAAGGAAGACACGTATGAAAATTAAACAAACAATCAGGTTATTAATCTAGTCAATGGCTACATTGGGCGTGACATTTTTAAAAAATACAACCATCACGTAAATTTTGGTTTATATAGATAGGAGACAGAAAGAAAGGCTCTGTCGAGTGCGGACTCTCAGTCGAGTTCGGATTAAAGTCCAGAACTTTCGCCTAGGGACTCTAAGTCCCAAAACAAATGTGATGTGTAAAGTTTTGTGTACGATTTGTAAATTATGGGTAAATATTTTTAACTTAATTTGAAAGTGTTTTGTTTAATAATAATTGATTGATTTACATAGCCAATTTTACATTTTTGTCCCGAATTATCATATTTATCTTATGCATATTTTTATATTATTATGTAGTTATAGTGCTTTATTCCCTAAATGGAATTTAATTCTTTTTTTCTTGAGACTATTAGTCAAATTTTATACTTATTGTTAATATACATTTGTTAATGTTTTAATACTTATTATTAATCTCTCCCTCCTTTCCAAAAACAGTAAAATATTCCGAGCATTTGAGAAGCCTCGGCGTTTCTATTCCCTTAGGACTAAAAGAGTCTAAAACTAGTTGTAAAGAATCGCTCGACTATGCTATTAAGGGATAATTTTTATTCTTTTAATTTAATTTTTTTATTTGCCACTGGTGAATGGATGTTCCTTCTGGACTCCAGGACCCTTTGGCTGGTGACGGCGCTGCCCTATTCCTTTAATAGTATATTAATAACAGTAGCTAAAGACCTATCAGTACTTACAAATGGTCTTTAGGCTAGTTGGTTGTTACAAAGGTACTCTTCTTCATTGTCGATAAAATGAACCGTTTTCGAGAAAAAAAAAAAAAAAAGAATTAATAGGGGGGTGGGTTGGCTCAGTGGTTAGAGTCATGACTTTGAGATCGGAAGGTCTCAAGATCGAATCCCACCGTTGGCCGGGATTTTTTCATTTAATTTAATTATTTAAAATTAATTCTGATGCCTTGGTAGGATTCCCCACTCGACCATTCACTGTTGGGTTCTAATTAACAGTGCTGTTCCTAAAGTGGCGCTGGGAAACAGTAACAAAGCCTACACAGAACACGAGGCTAATGGCCGTAGTAGTCGACGCCGATGACACCAAATTAAAAAAAAAAAATTAATGTTTTATTTTTATTAAAAAGAAACCATGATTTCCAATTTGTTTTGTCTGCAGCAAAGCGTGATACGAAAGTCATTGAAATAGAACTGTTATCAGTATTAAAAAAGCAACTGTTTTTACAAACGTTACTATGGTACCTATGAAATAAATAAATGAATAATTGCATTGACATGTGCATTTTAAATCTTGTTGACACGTTGATCTTTTAGTACTCCGATATTAATTTATTGAATTTTGAATATCCTGGTAATTCGATAATGGAATACACATTTAGTGAATATGCAGATATGCATCTTATGTACGGTCTTGCATCTTGCATCGCTTATGAAGCAAGAAGGTTGTATGAAGATATCCTAATCGCAATATTCCAAATGAGAAAACATTTCAGCGACTTGACCAACGTCTAAGAGAGACTGGTGGGCGATTCCCAGTTAATAAGGTAATATTATTGACTTTCTTCAATAATTTTTAGGAAGTTTTGGGAAAACAAGTACTGATGCTAGTGTGACAAGAACAGTACGTACGTAGGAAAATATTTTGGATACTGTAGCTGATACTCATTCAATAAGCACTCGGAAGATTAGCCGCGCAGCTTCATTTGTTAAAAACGATAATTGCTGAAGAATTTAAAGAACAGTTGTTATGCCCTTATCATCTGCAAAAAGTGCATCAACTACTTCCTGAAGATTTTCCTCGAAGAATCCAGTTCGCAAACTGGCTGTTAGATCAGCAACGAACAAACGGAAACTTCATTAGCACTATACTTTTTACCGATGAAGCAGGGTTTACCAAAAATGGTATTGTAAATTTACATAACTCGCATGTATGGGCTGATGAAAACCCTCATTCCACTGTTGTTTATCATTATAAAATCAGTTCCAATCAATTAATGTTTGGGCAGGAATAATCGGCAATTTTTTGATTGGACCATGCATATTGCTGCCACGATTAAATGAACTTTACAGTTCCTTCAGAACGCTTTTCTGGATTCAATAGAGCATTTGCCACTTGAAACCCGCCGAAGCATGTATTTTATGCATGATGGGGCCCCACCTCACTTTAGCGTCGCTGTACGGGACCACCTGAATAACGTCTATCGAAACCGTTGGATAGGCAGAGGAAGTCCAATTGCCTGGCCTCCATGTTCTTCCGGCCCAACGCCAATGGATTTTTATCTGTGGGGTCATCTTAAAACCTTGGTGTATTCCTCTCCGGTTGATACTAAGGAGGAACTTTTACAGAGAAACACATTTCATTGTGATGTGATAAGGAACAATGCTGGGTTGTTGTGGCGAGTACAGCAGTCCTCTATTCGTCGGGCCCGCGAGTGTATCAAAGTTCACGGAGCACATGTTGAAGCCACTTATAAAGTTGTTAATTGATTATTTCTCATTAGCGTATTTAGGTTAAATCGTTACAAGCTTTAGTGAGTTCAGGATGAAAACATAATACTCCAAGTTGTATTTTAGAATTTACCAATTTACCAAGCTAATTCTGGGAGTTTAATTTTTTAATAAAAATAAAACATTCATTCTTTTTTTTTCTCGAAAACGGTTAATTTTATCGACAATAAAGAAGGGTACCTTTTCTTTAGCTTAATGTTCAAGGAATCGAAATTTATTTTTTTAACTCCTTATCTTACAGGGCGTTAACAATGTAAGCATTAAATGTACAACCTAGTCCGCCCCTGATAAACTAAACAAGCTAATTATATTTTAAGGGCAGTATTTTAAGAGGTTCTTACTACTGTTTATCATATTAAATTTTCATTAAATTATATTAAGTAGTTTGAAAGTTATTCAAGGAAAATTGATTTCCAGTGGCGTCCTTTTGGAAGCCGTATCTCCGTACATAATTTAAAATAACTGGTATATAGCCATTTTTAAGCCTATAATAAAAGTTTTTAAATTTTAACAAAGATATAATTAACTATTACTGAAAAGACATAAATATATTATCGATCTTAGGTGGTTTTTTTTATAATCTAATAATTACATATATATAAAAAATTAAGGTATTCGCAGATTCACTAACAATTAGGGTTCGACCGATACCGATATCGGTATATCTGTCGATATGTAGAGTGCGATATCGGCTTATATCGATATCAGCCTAATAAAAATATCAATTAAATATTTCAATTGCTAAGAAATTTTAAAGAAATTAAAACACAAATATTAAATAAAAACAATTTAAATTATGTTTTTTTTTTTTAGAATTTAATAGAAAAAAAGTTTAATTTTTTTTTTTTAATACTTAAAAGGAGGTCCTTTCGCCACAATGTTAAATAAAAAATATTAGATTATGACTAAAATTAATTTTTTTCTAATAGTTGAAGTCCTTATTTATCTAATAAACAACTTTTAACTATACCTTACCGTGCAAATTTTTGAGAAAATTTTTAAGCTATTGCATAGCTTTTATCGCGGGCTTTGAGCGCGGCGACCGAATCAAAAAAAAAAAAAAAAAAAAAAAAAAACGAAACAGTAACGAAAAAAAACCTAACACCCCCACTCCGACCGGCACAGCGGTGCGGCGTTAAAAAATATTAACTTCACATTTATTCAATAAAAGAAAATCGAAAAATCTAAAAATCAAATCTTAAAATCGAAAAAGAAATTCCGTAACGAAAATAAACGTGGAATTTATTGAGACATTAATATTAAAAAATCACAAAAAAATTTTCAAGTAACCTAGCTTAAAATGGAGTCAAAACATTTGGCAACGTTGCGTAGCGCGCGAACTTCAGACCATTCAATGTAAACTTTAACGCAATTATGTTTTTTATTTATATTTATTAATTTATTTATTTTTACCAAATTTTTTTTATTTTATAATGGAAAATATCACAATAAATGAAAAATATCAGCTTATTAGAGTACTATCTAATTATTTATTTATCATAATGAGATATACTTACACATTATTTATTATAATTTTTTTTTAATATTTAAATAAAATTACGACACAAATGAGTAAATTGAAAACAATTTTTTTATGAATAGTGTAAATTTAATTATTTAGTCATAATCTAATATTTTTTATTTAACATTGGTGGCGAATGGACGTTCTTAAAGTCAAGTTAAAATGCAACAAAATTAAACTTTCTGCTCTTTTAGAGGTTAGAGATTTCTTGTGCTCTCATATACAAGGTGATTCATTAAGGGTAGCGACTGGCCTATCTCAGAATACCTTGAAGTAAATTTTTTTTTAAAGGAACACAAAAACAGGTCGATTTTTATTTCAAGTATCCTAAACTATCAATTCTTTCAGTTCTTCTCCGTGAATCTAACCAATACAATTTAAATAGGGAAAGTACCAGGTAGACAAATTACCAAAAATTTTAATGAAATTATATGAAACTAAATTAATTACAAGGGCGGTGGATGTGAGTAGTTGTCTGTTTTTCACGCGTAAGACCCGAGTTCGAATATCGGCTGGGGACTAATAAAAATAATATTTTTTTCGAGTTTAATTTATTTTATACATTAGTAAATGTTATAAATATTTTTAAATTAGTTATTTTGTATTAATAACCTAAAATAATTTTTAAATTTGTAGATTTTCGTTAGTGGGTCGTAGAAAAAATAGACTCGAGTGGATTGTCCATATCGCACTTTGTCTTCGTGCAATATGGCTATCATATCCATTCTTGTTGCACAAACTACTATTAAATTCTGGAGAAAAGGGCTCTTAGATTAAAATGTAAGTTTGATAGAAATGAAATAGTTATTTTTGTATTAAGTGTCTTAGATCAGGTTTTTTATATTGTACCATTGAGAGATACTAAAATTATTCACAAGAAACTTGTGTCAGTTCACTTTTAACCGGAAAACATTTTTTAGGTTCGAATGGTTTTTAATTATTTAAAAAATATATATTTTTTTTTTATTAAGGAATACATATTTTTCTAGATATTTTTTACAAAGTACAAACTGTTCTACCTGAATTTAGTTGAAGTAAAACTTCTTTATGGCGGCTGCTAAAAAGTATGGGTTTTAAGTAAATAGTTTTTGAAGTTGAAGATACAAGTGTACTTTTAGTAGGCTTTTTAGAAAAAAAAAATAATAATATAGGACTCGAATAGACATTGTGACATTAATAATATGCATAAGTATTTAAATAAAAATAATGCCTTTATTTTAAATGGCAGCGCACACAAGACAATAGAAAGATGATTATGGAATCCTATGATATTGACCTTAAAAGAATTCCTTTCTTAGAAAATGTTATTAAATATAGAATTGAAGACTGAAATATTATACCCAGCTAGCACATAACGTTGCCAAGCCTTTCGGCGACGTTGCTTCAAGGGAACATAACATTACTATACACCGCTCATGAGAAGTTGTTGAGGGAAATCAAAACCTCGCAAAACTTCTAATTTGTTACTTTTCTATTTAACCTACCTGTTATGTTAACATAACGTAATAAAGTAATTTGCTTAAAAAAATATACACGAAAAGTACTGTAAACATCACAATGTGAATTCGGATCGTTTATGTTTATGTTAATTGTTCTTGTCATTTGTCATGTTTTTGGTGGTTGGTTTTTAACTTGGAGAACTTATTTTATAAATAAAATTATTATTTATACATTTGAGTAGATTTGCAACGAGAAAAATAAATTAAACTGACAATAATTGGCATAAAGAATGCAAACATACTTACTTAATGTAATTTTGAAAGCCTTTTGTGCGTTTTAGAGCCTTATACCGAATTATAACCATAAGCAATCCTTGTAACATAACTCACACATACTCTTAATAATTTGACAACTACGTGGCCCGTGAATATTTACAATTGGATTTTTATAAACAAAATTTGTACAGTAGTTGTTCGTTGTTGATTTGAAAGTGCTAAATGGCGAATTTGTTATTCTAGATCATTGTTAAAAAAATACATGAAGAGCAAATAAAAATATAAAGCCATTTATTATTATTATTAATATTTTATAATCATTACACATTAGTCTGTGAAGAGTATTATAGGTTTACTTTGTCTGTCCGTCCCATGTCACGTTTTTTGTCCACACGATAAGTTAAAAACGAAAAATGAAAATTTCAGGAAAAATCAAGGATTTTAAAAAAAAATCTGAATAAAAATGGAGGGGGTGAAAACAAAAAATGTTATCGACTTGAAATTTTTGGCAAAAATCAATCTCTACAAGGGAAAAAAGACCTCTGATTTTTAAAAAAATCTGAATAAAAATGGGCGTTAAGGGGGTCTATTAAATAAGAGTATAATATAGAATGGCAAGCATTATATATCTTCTTTCTAGTTTTTACATCGGTATTGTCACGACTAGCTTTCTTTATGAAATAAAAAACCATTAAAAAACAGTAAAACAACTTTATTTTAGACACAAATTTACAAAAAGGAGCTTACCAAAACATACCTGTTGGATTGCACGTTACTCCTACTTTCAGAGGTTGCGAACAAATTCAATGTAAAACGAGGCGTATCTATTATTCAATATCTTTGGTATCACAGTTCAAGTGATCTAAGTTTAATTTATATTGGTAATTCTGAATCGAGGGACTTCTGACAAAAATGAATGCTTTATGTCAGTTTGACGTTTTTAAAACCATTACCGTGAAGAATGAAAAATTGTACGAAATGGAAAGAAATTGACGGACCACCAATTTTTCGAGCAACGAAGAAGAATTGTTGGTAAATTTTAATTGCTGTACTTTCGTACTCTACTTGGTGGTGGTAATTAAGGATACCGATGCAAAAAATTGTACAGTTAACAGAACCATGACAGTAGGACTTAAAGCATTATTTCTAGAAAATAAAATATATGTTATTGTAAATGTAATTATTTATAAGTCCTCCTTCTATGTTGTTAATTATTCTGCTAGCCGTTTTCTTAGACAAACGAAATCATGCATATTCTTTTGGATACATGGTACATTAAATAAGTAGCAGCTTTACCATCGTCTTTACTTATTACTTCGAACATAAAATGTACGAAAATTGTGAAATATACTTAAATTATGTCAGTGTCAAAACATTAATCTTAGTTTAAATGTCCAACTTTGACAGTTCAATTTTTCGGATAGTTTAAATTAAGTTCAAACGTAAACTAAATTTGAAATACACCATCTTTCAATTAAACTCAGTTCATTTGCTGAACTCAGTTTAAACTTTCATTGAAAAACTGGCCCTTAGGTCCGATTGTACAAAGCAAGCTAAAACCTAGGTTCAGGTGAACTCGGTAAATGGTTGAACTTACTTTAAAAATTGGTATGAATTGTACATACCCCGCTCAATGTCGGTTTAGATAAACTTCATTGTTCAGGGTTGCCAGATTTTAATTTTGTTGTATCTTTGTTTCTCTTATTAGAAAATAAATGAGCTATATAAAATGTCATTTTTGGCATTTTTACTCTAAAGTTATTATTTTTAGAGGTTACACGTAGTTTTCCCTTGTGTTTCCAAACTGATAATATAAAGAACGCCAAACTTCACGCATGCCGAAGAAGGACTAGTGAAACTAGTGAAAAAATATAAAGACATTTTAGAAAATAAAAACACAGATGTGAATATAACGCACAAGAAGAATGAGTGCTGGATAAAAATTGAAAGTGAATTTAATTCACACATCTTTGTACAAATTCAGTATTGTTCCACTTCACAAAATGATTGTCCCTTGGTCTATATATTTATGGTTGTCTTTCTGGTTGTTGCAAGATATTTGCTAATTCTAAAAAATCCTCGTCTTCAGATATTTCATCCATTTTTACGAAACAACTTCTATTAATTAGGAATTCAGTAATTTGTATATATCTTGTTTTCTATTTACCTACCTACGGTTTGTGTACGGTAACGTATAAGGTACCAACCCAAAAAATATTTTTTTGTAGTGTTACCAACTAACTAAATTCAAAAATAGGTCTGAACTCGGTTTAAGCGCGGAAACATGACCGCTTTGTTGAACCTATAGATGAACGCAGTTTATGTTCTGAACTATTATTGTACAACGCCAAGAACCAGGTTCATGCTAAACCTAGGTTCAACTCGCATTGTACAATCGGGCCTTAATGTAATAATAATTGTTCTTTAGTTTAAGAAAAACATGTAACTAGGCTATACATGTTTGTTTCTTATAAATAAATAAATACTTACTTGATTCTCCCAATATTTGATGGTTTTAATCAATTTCCTATCCTCGGTCGATCTCTCCTTTCTGTAGCTGTCCAACTGGGCTCTGAGGTCGTCCAGATCTTTTTGCTGAAGTTGGACGGTGTCCCTCAATGCCGAATTGCATTCCTCTAAGGACCGGGTGCTCTTGGCGTCCGATAGCAGTCTTCGATTTCTATAAGCATGTGTTTCTCTTCTATGTCTTTCGAATAATAATTGTTGGTGGACTAGTTCTAGCTGTTCTTTGAGGTGTTGTACGCTGTTCTTATCACTGGAACGGACAGCAACGTCTATGTAACTGGAAAAAATTACTGTTTTCAACAAAAATTATAAAAAGAAAACAATTGAAAACATCAGACACATTTTCACATTAAAGTAGATCATTTGTTGTGGGCTGAGATCAATTATTATTATTTTTGAAAAGATTACTTATAGTTCACTTAAAGTAAGTAATTTTACTAAAAGGGGTAATAAGTCAATAAATATTAGCTTTGCAGAAAATATCTTAAGATAAAAAATATGATGAATTTCATTGGTTAAGGGCTGCTAGTAGCCGGCTGTCTCTCAGAATATCTTGTAGGAGCATTTTTTTAAACAAACAAAGAAACAGATCGATTTTAATTCCAAAGAGGACACCTTTCTATCATATCCTCAACTTTAATCTGTCATTCCTCTCCATCATAGGGGGTAGGACGTAAAGGATGCGTATTTCATTCTCTCAGTTGGGAGCGGGTCGCTATAGGCATTCCTAGACTCTTCAGCCGCACTGGAGTGCTCAGGGATTGGGTATGAGGTGGGCTTGAAAGAAAAGTTGTAGGAATCTGAACTGATATTACAGACCCAGTATGTCGTCGTTAGGAACATCTCCTGTGGGTAAACTCACTAAATTTTCAGTAGACACACAAACTTCCTATAACTTCTTGTGGAAGTCCACACATACCAGGTAATTAATTATTGTGCGACAATGTATTTTAACAGCTTACTACACACATATGAGATATTTTAATTTTTTAGGGAGCAACTAAATGTCGCTTATAGTTCCAAAATATAAATATTCACAAATATTGCACATAGGAGGGGCTATATCCCACGACCTTCTACATGCGTTACCACAGAGCCACCACACTCTAACCAATACAATATAAATAGGGAAAGTATCAAATATGACACATAATCGAAAAAGTAATTTAATGGGGAACTAACCAGTGCGTTACTTTTGATTTTAACGCTCTCTACCGGGATACAAAATTGTTATGTTTTATAAAGTGTGACACTTCATTTGAAAGCTAATTGTATGATTAATTCTGAAAATAAAAAAAATGCCTTATTACTAAATTTAATTTGTTGCAAATGCAACATGGAGATATTTAGGTTAATGTTATATGGTGCATTGGAATACAAATGAAGTGTCTCAATCAGTGGCGGTTTGCCCGTAAGGGCACTTGGGCACGTGCCCTAGTACAATAAACCAAAAAAAAATAACTTACATATTTTATATTTTCCTCAATGCCTAATATTCAGCGCAAACCGCGTTGGCACGACACTGGACGACCGGGCGTTAAGCGACGTTCCGAGAATTCCGAAATTAAGTGGAAGATGGGCACAGGGCACAGTAAATGTGTGCCTCTGTTGTTTTCTCTCATTATGATGCGAAAAACAAGGACAATGACAATATCGCTTAGTAAGAGATGAACACATGCGATGGATTATACGTCACAAGCGGGGCGCTGTCCTCATCGTGACGTGCTGTACCCATGGCACAGATTACCTAGACCAGATACGAATGTACGCAGCGGCATCTTTACCGGCTCCCTCACAAAGGCGATGCCGGTTTCGGCTTAAGGTGCGCGTTTGTTGGACCATGATAATAATTTATTTATTGTGATTACGAAAAAAACGTTAGTTGGACCATTGGAATAGTTAAGAAATAAAACTACAAAGAAAAATAACTTTTTTTTTATAAAGCAGTCAAAAATATGATGAAAAAAATCAATAATATTTATAAATGGGACCAAATTTTAATGTTTCTTTTGGTTTTGTCTGACTTTTTCAAGGATTTCAAATCTCTGTTTGCATATTTAAGAGTATAAAAAAGTCTTATAAATAATTTAATGGTGTACATTTTCGCAAATTGTTGACAAGGATGACCAAATTCTATTTTGCTCATCTCAAAAAGGTATGCGTTGGAAATTCCAGGCTTAGTTGACAAACTACCAAATAGAGATATAAATATTGTTTCTAATTTGAAAATATAAAAGAGAAATTTTTCGCTGGGAGATTTTAAATTGCCAAACACCTTTTCTTCAGATTCGTATGCTTTAAAATGCGTTAACAAGTTAGAATTGTTAAGTAAATTGCGTTCTTCTGAGAAATTTGCGTAAATTTCGCAAAAGTGGATATGTAATGATTTTTTGATTAAATAGCCACATACATAGTTAAATGCATTTTGAGTGGTCACATTTAGCTCCCTGTAGTCACATTCAGAAATCGTTATTGCCCCAACTGATTGTACATGAGGTTTGGTTTCCGTTTTATGATAATTATTTGAAACATTTATTTAGTTCTGTAAGTAAAATGTCATGCCATGTTATCCATCGAAAAAAAAACTTATTCGGTCCATTCCAAATTTTAATCATGTGGTCATCGATCACTTCGCTAGCCAAAAATCCAGAAGAATAGACTTCAACTATAAGAAATAGTATTCAACTGCAGCGGTACCTAGCAGTTAGTCTTTAATTTTGTAATATTTAATTTGTTTTGAAATATATTTAATTTTCATTAAGCGGAGAACTTGCTTTCCTAAGGGAAAAACGAATCCCGGGATTCCTTTCCAGTGTGCCCCACTGCCGCTAGTGCCCACGAGCCGCCACTGGTCACAATGTATAATATGTAACAGTTGTTTATCCCACAATGACCAGCAGAGCTGTTGTACTGAGTATTTTAAATACTTGAAGTAAATACTTAAGTACAAAAATATACTTCAAGTATTTGACTTAAGTACTAATACAAACGTTGGTACTTGTACTTGCAATTTTAAGTTTTTTAAATTTTACTTATTCTTAAAATATGTGTGTGTGTCATTGGATTTTGTGACTAGATATAATCTATTAGCCTATTATGTATTTCTGTTTTATTGATACTAAGTTAGAATAAGAGAATCATATGAAGTATTTTACAATTGTTTTTCCTAATACAATTGTTTTTTTCTAATATGGATACAAAAATTTTCTTATAGAATTTTTTATTCTTTTGTTAATCCCGTTTTAAAACATTTGGCGTTTTTTGTTTTTTCTTGTTTTTTTTCTTTTTCTTTTTTTTGTTTTTTTTTTTTGTTTTTTTTTTTGTTTTTTTTTTTGTTTTTTAGGTTTGTGTTTTTTTTTTGTTTTTTTGTGTTTTTTTTTTGTTTTTTTTGTTTTTTTGTTTTTTTGTTTTTTTGTTTTTTTTTTATATTTTTTGTATTTTTTGTATTTTTTGTATTTTTTGTATTTTTTGTATTTTTTGTATTTTTTGTATTTTTTGTATTTTTTGTATTTTTTGTATTTTTTGTATTTTTTGTATTTTTTGTATTTTTTGTATTTTTTGTATTTTTTGTATTTTTTGTATTTTTTGTATTTTTTGTATTTTTGTATTTTTTTGTATTTTTTTGTATTTTTTGTATTTTTTGTATTTTTTGTATTTTTTGTATTTTTTGTATTTTTTGTATTTTTTGTATTTTTTGTATTTTTTGTATTTTTTGTATTTTTTGTATTTTTTGTATTTTTTGTATTTTTTGTATTTTTTGTATTTTTTGTATTTTTTGTATTTTTTGTATTTTTTTGTATTTTTTGTATTTTTTGTATTTTTTGTATTTTTTGTATTTTTTGTATTTTTTGTATTTTTTGTATTTTTGTATTTTTTGTATTTTTTGTATTTTTTGTATTTTTTGTATTTTTTGTATTTTTTGTATTTTTTGTATTTTTTGTATTTTTTGTATTTTTTGTATTTTTTGTATTTTTTTGTATTTTTTGTATTTTTATTAGGAAAGAACTTGGACGCCTTACGCTTAGAGGTCAATCAAAGCGATTTAAGACAAACAAAGGAGTACCTCGGACAGGAGGAACACAAATGGGAAAAACGGAGGTTTTGTTCTACAATTTTAAATTAATATTAGATATGTGACGAAAAAGTAATTAATATATATTTAAATCTTGTAATTGTAATAATTCTTGTAAATTAAATGGTCTTGTTATCGTTACTTTTTTACAATCAATATTGTAATGAAGTCATTTTTCATTACTATTTTTTTTATTCAATTGCCGAATTAGTATTCTTAATAATAATTTTAAATCTAACTTTCATTAGAATCCGGCATGTCAATTTAATAAAATTAATTATTCGTTACTATTCTAATTTATAAATCAACTTTTTGGCTTCACCCTGTATCTATTATTTTGAAATATATAATAATCCGAAAATCCATAGTACTTTCACAATATAGAAATGGTTTTCAAAAGTCATTTTAAACCAGGGTTTTGAATTTATATTATAGAAAATTGTAGATTTGGGAATTTATCATTTTTAATATTTTAAACGAGAACGAACGCCAGCAGCCAACACCGTACCCCTTCTCGAGTACCTTCTCCCACTTAAGTTGATCATGCGTGGGACATTAGTAAATATTTTCAACCCGAGAACGACAACATCGAGAGAGAAATTTTTAATTCCATTCCGAGCAATCGAAAGAATCATTCGATAAGTCAAATACCAGCGCCGCGAGCCAAAACCGTCTTGTTTACTTACCGCAGTTAGTACAAAAAACCCGTTTTTATTTTTTTGCCGTAGCATCGAGTTTAGATAGGAAATAAAACCGAATTAAATTAGGTAGATTTAAACACCGTTTGAGATTACATTTTAACACGTAAATAATTTTGTTTGAAAATTCCGAAATTTAATAATTAAATTAACAGTCGAAGAATATTTTCTTGTTTGGATATTGGCCGTGTTTGTTTTTTTTTTTATTAACGTCTTCGAACTGTGAGGACTGCTTCCGATATAAATCAACTTTGTAAATAGAATTATTAAATAAGTAAATTGGGAAAAGATAGGAATTAGTGTTTATTTTCTTTTTTTTTAATTTAGATAGACTTTTAAAAAAAATAGATTTGTTGAATTCCTAACCGTGGGAAATACGGGAATTGAATATTGTTCATTTTTTTATTGTTTTAGTTTGACTGTCCGGGATTTTGTTCTACCGAAGGGGAGGGTATCATTTCCTATTTTGAATATAAAATCTCCGTTCCTTTATTTTTCCGTCCTGGCTATTCCCAAATAACTCAGTGAGGGCTTAAAGTTCCCTGTGTTATTTTCCTTCCTAGCTTTCTGCAATTAACTCAGTAAGGGCTTAAAGTTCCCTGTATTAATTTTTCTTCCTGTCTATTCCCAAAACCCTCAGTGAGGGCTTAAAGTTCCCTGTGTTATTTTTCTTCCTAGCTATCCGCAATTAACTCAGTGAGGGCTTAAAGTTCCCTGTGTTAGTTTTCCTTCCTGTCTATTCCCAAATAACTCAGTGAGGGCTTAAAGTTCCCTGTGTTATTTTCTAGATATCCCTGTCCGACCTGGGGTTATAATAATAAATAACAATAAGAGGTAGTGTGGGTTTGATTCAGCGTAGCTTGCTCGTTGGCTTCAGGGGTTTTAAAAACGAAACAAACATTTAAAAAGATTTTAAGTGGTCCTCACGAGTTGCAGAAGTGCCGCAGTTTAAATTTTTAAAATTCATACTATCCTTGATTTAAATTTTGATTTATTACCGTAAATTTGGAATTTTTAAAATTCATACTATCCTTGATTTGAATTTTGATTTTTCTTTGTGATTTAAGAAAATTAACGTAAATTTTGGAATTTTTAAAATTAATACTATCATTGATCAAAAACGTCTATCCTAAAACTAACCCCCTGACGACTTACATAGCTAGCGTGGACCTTCTAGAACCGTCCAGATGTTTCTTGACATGGAATGATATTTCTAGACATTTCTCGATTATTATCTCTTCTTTTACTCGTACCTTTACTTATGACGACCGCAGCACACTGTAGGGTGATGGGTGACATACTTCTTTTATTTGTACGTTTAATATAGGAGCAAACAAATACTCGGAGATTCGAAAAAAAAGCCTGGATTCGAACCCAGACATATTTGTTCTGTATACAAATGCCCTTATCGCTAAGACCATGATGACATTGACTATCAAGATTCCTAGATATCAATTTGTTGTACTAATTCGGGCCAGACGCCGTTTCAGGCTCGTTCTCAAATCTCCAAAAAGAGATAATTATAAAATAATTAAAAAATAAATATTATAAAATAATAAGTATAATTAATAACAAAATAATAAAATTTGTATTGTTTTTATTAATATTTAAGTTTTTTCCATTATATCTAGGTGTCTGGGGACAGTTGATTTGTATGAAATTTCTTAAGTGAAAGCTTTTTATCATTTAAAACAAACGAAGGGAATAACTGTTTATTAAATTTAGAATTTTCTCGGAATATTTCAAGGTAGGTAATATTTACTTTTACGAGAACTTCATAGTATATTACACACCGAGGTGGGAAGAGTTTCATTCCTGTCGTGAGATTAGTTAGATCACCGAGACGCGAAGCGTCGAGGTTAGCTATGATCTCGAGACAGGAATGAAACTTCCTATCGAGGTTTGTAAACTATTTTATTTACAACCATCATATTTCGATCAAAGTTAATAAATCTCTGTTTCGTTCTGAACATACCTAAAATATTACATTTAACGACAAATTATCAAGCGCGCGGTTTTCTCAGAATAATGAAGTAAATATATTGTTACTGTGATTACGGGGTAAACAACAATATAAATAAATGTCAGATAAAGCCGGATATTAAATTCGCGAATAATAAATATCAATAAGTAGTTTGTTGTATTTTAGTTCATTGTTGTTTTTTATTGTTTGCCATTAAATAGGTACTATAAAATTTGTCAAAAAAATGTGTTATTTTTTTAAATATAAAAAATATTTATCTAGAATAGATGAAATGAGGGCGGAAAGTGAGGGCGGGAAGTGAGGGCGGGAAGTGAGGGCGGGAAGTGAGGGCGGGAAGTGAGGGCGGGAAGTAGAGGTGTGTAATGTGACACGTCCCAACCTTCAATGACGTTAGTAATGACAACATTACATATATGGTTGTAAATAAAATATATTTTCAACTTGGAGAATACATGCATCTTTTTCTTTTAATTCTACTTTTAGATAGTTTTAATGTTTTCAATTTATCTATTCAGGGATAATGTCACTTCAGGATTGATAATTAAAAAAAAGTTCTCTTTTATTTCTTCTTTTTACAATTTTTCAAACAAAATTATTTCTTATGGAATACCACAAAAGCTTTTGTAAATGAGTTCATTAACAGACTGGTCGATATCAAAAGCACCTTTCACCGACCATTTCAACGACCTATTTCCAGCCAATTTTCACCCAATCTATAGCTTTGTGGATTAAAACTTGCATGCAAGTATCCAAACCAATATTTCCCAGAAATATCGAAACCAGCAGTCCGCTTACAAAGTCTATTTCAAATTCTAGAGACAGATTAGGCAACGAGCTGGCACTGCCCAAAATATTAAACCTTTCTTACTAAGACCTTTGACTTGGGTGGCCATTTTTTTCTAGCTGAGGAATATGTCGTTATATTTATACATTTTTACATCATTATACAAAAACCTCATCCTTTCAATTTATTTATTTCAAAGTTATAATCTCAAGATAAAATCAACTGTTATAAAATTTTACACTTACTTTCTAGAATTACTTTTTTTCATTAAATCTGATGACTAATCTAACCTGTGGGTTAGTATTTGACTAATATTGTATAAAAAAAATATATGGTAAGCGACTTACTGGTCTAAAGTGTCGTAAATGGAAGTCGGTAGCGATTTCTCATCAGGTATATTAAAAGGAGCCGGACTAGCCTCTGGGCTCGGTTTTATCTCCCCGCTCTCTAACGAAGGAAACACTCCCAAAAAAAGATGCTCGTATGGCCAAAAATTCTCCGTCTGAGTCGTCGCGGTCATCACAGCTTTAC